AGGAGTTATGTATACGCTAAGCCTACGCTAAGTAGTTAGGTTATATTACACTCCCTTCTCTAAGGTTAGTTAATCTAGCTACCTCTATTAATCCTGTTATTATAAGGGCTCTTATACGGCCCTTATAGTAGCTATTACGACACTATAGTTTATTAAGCTTTTAGAATCTAAGTCTAATAGGGACCTAGATAAGTCTTAAGCTACTATAGCATTAGCTCTCCTCTACTGTTTTTTTTTCTAGAACTGCTTCTTCTTATTATTATTAGGCTTTCTAGCTTTCTAGGACGATAGTGCCCTATTAAGGTGTTACTTGTAACATTCTATATTAGTGTAGTTGTATTTGCACTAAGTGTATTTCTTATTATTGTCTTTAATATCTGCTATTACTCCTCCTACAACTCGTTTCTAGGAAGGATTAGGCTAGTAGCTTAATACTAGAGGTTTCTTACGTTTAAGAGAGGTAATTATATCCTCTAATGTTACTAGCTAGGGTTTATTAGTATATCGCTAGCTTCTAAGCTACTTAATGTGGTTTAGACCTATAATAAATAGCATGTTTATAATAAGAGGTAGGAATATAAGTCCCTCCTATGCATTAGGAATGCGGTTAGCTCTAGCATATTACTTAGTAGCTATCCTATACTAATGCACCTACTTTTAGAAGTCTTTATAGTACTTTAGGGTGTTATTACCCGTTAGTTTAATGCTCCTAATCTGCCTAAGAGTATTATAGATGTCTATAGTAATAACTAGTTAATATATAGCAAGGATTATTTTAAATAGCTCCTATGCTATTTTCTTAGTACTTCCGAAATTAGGCCTAAGCTTTTTATCTAGCCGGCTATAGATAATACTATAGGCAACTATATCCTTCTTCTTAAACTCCCTTAATACTAGTAGATAATTAGCTGCATTAGGGTAGTTAATCCTCTAGGGCTCTAGTTATAGTAGCTTCTAAGGAAGATTATAGAAGATATATTTAAGTATATCCTCTTTTACTAGTACTCCTCTAAGTATTACCTTCTAGCCTAAGAAGTTAGTGCCCTTTCTAAGCACCTAATTCTCCTTAGCTGTCTTAACTAGCTCTATTATATTTTAATCCTAGCTCTTCTCTTAGCTTGCTAGGATTCCCCTATTAAAATAGTAAGTATAGGGTTAATATTATTAATACTAATAACTTCTTAGTAAGGATAGGATCGTAGTAGCGCCGGGCTTATAACCTATTATAAAGCTGTTACTAAACTAAGGTAAAGTACGTAGATAACACTAATTAGTATATAGGTAAAAACTCTGCATCTAAGATGCGGCTATATCGTCTGATCCTTAGTCATCTGTGGATCACGTGCCAGAATTACAATACTCTCGATATAACGACATCTACAGGTGGAATCGTACCTTATAACTCCCCGACAGTGCGCCAGACGCGGTCCCAGATCGCGAGCAGTGAGCACACCGTACGCGGTCGCCAAAGGTAGAGAAAATGGAACGGGGGTGAAACCGAGAGCCACCGGGTCGGAGACGATGGTTCGCACGCAACCGTTAAAGTGGCCGGAGTAAACGATGATGGGGAGCGACCGTCGAAAGACGGTAAGTGGCTTCTAACGAGAAACAGATGGTGCGGAAGCCGGTCGGCGAGAGAATGCGACCTTTTATACAAACGCTACTCCTAAATACACGAGCCCTGTTAGAGTCTCCCCCCGAGCGCGCTACGGACGGTGTAGACCAGCACTCGGTCGGCGTCGTCGGCAAACCTATAGCTCCGATGAAATGCGAAGGGCGGAGAGTCGCTACTATGCTGCGGTATCGAGTCGACGCACTTTCTGCAGAGACGGAAGATGAGCCTTCGATCGTCGGGATCGCCGGACGGTACTACGAGACCTATGGTACCGACGTCGCCGTAAACGACGGCCTCGTCCGTGACTTGACCCGCGCCGCTAGATCTCTAGAGAACTTACCTTAGCATCGGCTCGCTGGCGTCGACATCGGCTACTCGTAGCCTTATAGGATTCAGATTACACCCGATCGGACTTATAGATCCCTTCTATACCGATCGACTCGTAAGCTTCTATAACACCTATACGTCGTAGTGCGTTTTAAGCTTTAGAGATGAAAGACAGGTATAATAGGTATAAACAGCGGGTTTTTAATCCTTAGATTCGTCTTTAAGGTCACACTCTCCAATTTGCAAAACCCATACGGCATAAGCGACTTCCAGCATATTAACAGCGAACGAAGCACGATCATCCCAATCAACCTCATCCTTGCGATACACACCTAGCTCACGACACATCGACAATTCGATATCATGAAAGTCACTCTCGCTATCGTTCTTGCCTTAGCCAGCAGCACCTTCGCCGCTACCTACAAAATCACATTCACAAGCTCCGATAACCCCGACCCACAATCGTTCCAGTGTGAAGATGACGAGTATCTTCTTGACATAGCCGAAGAAAATGGCTTCGATTGGCCGTACTCAAGCCGAGCTGGTGTGGATGCAACTTCTGCCGCACGCCTGACCTCGGGGATGGTAGATCAGAGCGATCAGAGTTTCCTGGATGATGACCAGCTTGAAGCCGGATATGTCCTAACGGACGTCGCATACCCACGCTCGGATTGTGTTCTTGTTATTGGGGTGGAAGAGGAGTTGTTTTGAACGAGTAAGCTCTAGGCTCATTCGAATCATTTGTATAGTACTCCCATCTGGAATGATAGCTGTGTGAATAATATCATCTACGTATACCGATGACAGCTTTTAGCTACTACAAGATGATTTCTTAGCTACTATCTTTTTCTCATCGAATCGACCTAATGTATCTTCGAGGTAGAAGTCTACCCTACCGGGCGTTGTATAGTTCAGGTTCAGAAAACTTCGACCACGGCATATTCTCAGCTCATAGAACCCGATTTTGATTTTGGAAACCGGTGGTCTACACCTCTTAATCCTCAAGGGCACGGTAAATAGGCCAGAGGGTAGAGGAAGGAGATACCTAGTTCTCGAAGCGATGTTCACGGTTAACTTTAGCAAAGCGTGGAATACCTGGTAAGCAACGTGAGTGCTGAAATCTAGACTTGACTGCAGTAGCTTTTGATACATAGATTGGTGATTCATAGTGATCGATAGGGAGGCAAGGCCAGAGCTTACACCGTCCGCTATCACAGCTTGTCGTTAACAGCATCGCAAACTCATTACCGTTCATTGTTCTTCTTACTCTCAAACTATACAGGAAGAAAAAGGGGCTCGCTCTATGCTCATGGTTGGAAAAAAAAAAGGTTGCGTCCGAAATGAAGCCGAAGAAGGAAAAATTTCTCCTTCGCCATTGTCTTGCAAACCCAAAAAAAAAAAAACATTCAACATTTGGGATTCCCCGGTAGTCACCTACCCGAGTACTAGTCAAACGGTCGCATGGTTAAATAGGCCAGAGCGGACGGGATGGCTTGATTTCATGCGCCTATGGTCGAATGTGGCAGTGAATTATTTTGCTCGAATATATCCTTCCACGATGTTCTCATGAGGACTACCAAGCTGCACGAGGTACGGCGTATTCCTTGCGAAGACTTATGGCGATGTAGGGTCACCGTCTGTTTGATGTTAGCCTTAGTAGGCTTCCTGGAACAACCGCTCGTCTCTAAGTGTGTCTCTCACAATGAAAGCTGTACTCCCAATGCGTTCCTCAGCTGCGGCTTTTCAGGACACAGCAAGGAGAAAAACTCGTCGCTTGAATGAGAGTTCAAATGGCGGATACTGAGACATAAACACATCGAAATCATTGAATAAGCCCGGCCGAACGTTCATTCATTCATGTTCCCATTGAATCTTTCTATCTTAACCACATCCCAGCAAGAACCTCGCCCAAGATCGCTAAACGCAGCAACGCAAAAAGTCATCCAAGGAGCACTACCTTCTACGAATCCCCATGGCATTGGAATGCCCCCATCCCAATGAATCGATGTAGATGCTCTCCATCAAGGCACTGCATTTCCAAGACCTTCCAGGATATTCTCCTCCGCGTCACCGATAGAAGCGCCAATATTCGCCGGGATAGAAGTGGTCGTTCCATCCAGACCATCCAGAGCTCCAGTCAATGGAGTAGTCGTGAAGCCAACCCCTGCAGCATCCGTAATGTCTTGGAAACCATTCGCAATCTTGTCAAGTTGACGTCTATTCAATGAGTCAAAAACACGCTTGACCATGCTGGTAATTCCTTCTTTGACGCTTGTGATATTGCCGGCAAGCTTGTCTTCGGCATTCTTTACACCGAATCCTATAGCGTTGTCGGTGGAGGAGAAGATTGAATCGCAAGCGGCTCCTTCACCGGCCAGTTGACGGGGTGCGAGATGAGTGATGTCTGAGATATGGCTGGCGATCTTGTCTTCGGCGTTTTTGATACCGAATCCAATGGCGTTGTCGGTGGAGGAGAAAATTGAGTTGCATGCGGCACCTTCACCTGCTAGCTGAGGCACAGGAAGAGCGAGGATGGTTGTGGCCAATATGACGCTGAGAAGTGCTGTTGGGAAGAGCATCTTGTGGCGGTGTACAAAGCCGTTTCGTGGGAGCTGAGTGGTCTTCTAAGGGATGGATGCTGGGCTGGCCGACGATAGCATTCAAGGTCGAGGGAGTGTCTGATTTATACAGAATACTCTCGATGAACAGCACACGTGTAAGCGCATGGCCTCGTCGTGATGACATCGCCAACTGCGCTCTCTGATGGGCGCYGAGTGAGCTCCGAGATATGGAAGATGCCAACGTGGCTTGCAAGCTCTGCGGGAAAAGCTTCCCATCTACCCACAGCTCCGCATATCTGGAGTTAGCCGTGTGGTCTTCGAGACACAAGCTGTGCATTCGCGGTATCTGCAGATTTTAGCGTCAGAGGTAATGCAGATTCCCGAATGTGGATAAGACGAGTTCCTACGCAGCAGGAGAGAGTTCACGCTACGAAAGAAGATCGAGATCGATAGCTCACAGATACAACACCGTTCATCTGGGAATCCTCCGTAGTGATACTCCTTAACGATTGCTTCGTTATGTGAGAATAGCTACTTATCTGTGGGTAATCTAGAGAGGTATCGTTGAAATCGATTGAAAATGTTAAAAGGGGTCTGCCAATATTCACTTGTCGACCGAACTGCAAATGTGCATCGAAAATCGACTGCATGAGGCTTGATAAAGAGTGCATCAAACGCGTCTCCTCGCCCCAAGCCGATGCCTTCGAGAAAGACGGAGCCTAAGCAACAGCAGAACAAGCAGTGTCAAGCACTCCCCACCGCCGATCGTTCACATGTCGAAAAGCTTGATTGCGTCCCTGATCCACACTCTTATTCTCAAAATGTATCCTTCTGGCCAGTCATCGGCCTTGTTTGCTACAATACCTTCGCGTTCAGCTGCCACTGAAAAGAACAGTCTTTTCAATATCGAAATGCTTCTTCGGAGCTTCCTTATCGGGGTATAGCGAAACGCCATACCGTCATGGTACATAATGCAAGGGCAATCATACGCGGAAAACCGATGATCGATGCATATTCCTACGGCTCTTACCGACGCTGGAGGAAGATTTGGGGATAAGCTCTTTGTGATGGGAAACACCACTTACCACTTATTGCGACAGCCAAGTCGACGACACGTGTGTAGCCGCGACTCATTTTGATCATAATCGTCTTCGATTTCGTCAGGATACACTCCTATCAATCAAGGGAAAATCAGACACATTGCAAAACACGATGGATTCCATGCCTGTTGTGAACAGTTCTGCATTGTGCATTGCTATGTAACTCCACCACCTCCGACCAAAACTCTTCAATACATCAAAGTCCCTCTGTCCCCATCAATCACAATTCAAGATCCCATTCCAAAAGCAAGCCACATCAAGTCGCAGTCCTAACCAAAGTCGCAAAAGTCGTCGGTGCACCACTCCCCGCAGCAGTCAAACCTGAGAGGGTAACAGTAGAAGGGACAGGAATAACAGCAACCGTAAGCGTCATGATTTGCGGAGCTCGACTTCTACTACTCGCCGGTTTTGCTGTTGGTGTGGCAATCGTGCCATTTCCAAGCACAGTGTAGCTGAACGGACGAGTCAAATTCGGGCTGCTTTCTACTGGTGGTATCGGCGTGAGATTCGTGATTGTAGCGATGGATGTTCTGGTGGATGTAACTTGTGAGGTTTGGAKAGTTGTGGTGGATAGTGGTGTGCTTCCTGCTGGGACTCCTGGGATAGTAGTGTAAGGAGCTGGACCACGACGACTAGTGGATGCTATGACGGCTGGAGAAGCAGTTGGTAATGCTGCCAGGGGGGTAGGTGTTGCGTTTGAGAGAAGGCTTTGTAGAAGCGCCTCGACGGTTTCTAATCGTTGCTCCACGGATTGGATGTAGCTGAAGAGATTCCTGGGTAGATCATCGATTCCTTCTTTGATATCTTCTAAGTCGGAGATGACTTCGCTGGATGCTTGGCTTGTAACGCGTGTTGCTTGGATCGTTGTGGAAGGTGAGGCGTCGATGGTAACTATCGGGACAGCAACTGCTGTCTGTCGGATGTGGTGGTGGTGTCCATGTCTTGCTTCTACATGTCCGATGAGGATGAAGATGGCTGGAAGAGAGTAAAGTAGAGTTTTGGTTATTGAAGACATTGTTGGTGACTTGGATGGCTGTTTTGGTGGGCTGCTTTGAGTGTAGGATGGATGCTCTTGTATACCGATAATGACGGGAGGCTATCATTAGAATGGGATAGGTCGGAGCATGAATGCTGGCTGGTGTGTGGCGTGGTTGGCAAATTCCATTCCCACATTCCGACGCGGTATGCCCTTCATCCCTCGCAGTGCATCCTACCCACGTCACAACATCTGAACACTTTGGGTCGGACTCTTGGGTTTGCCTGGATCTGATRTGTACCATTTTGCTCGTCAAAAACACATTACACTCTGGGCAGTATCTTCGCGATAATCTGCCCCCGGAGGTTGAAGGAGTGACATTTGGTGCGCGAATTCCGGTCGTGATCATCTGATCGATCATAGACTTGGGAGGCTGGAGAGCTACTTTGGTGATACCTTTTCCCATGACGAGCCGCTCGTATGATAGCATTTCCAAAACGCAGGAATGTAGACAAGCTCTCATCAGTCATGACTCTTTCAAGTTTCATGCTCGCATCACCAAGCATCACCGTGCCCACAAAGCATACGGATCCCGCTTATACCACACAACCTCACCAGCCGCCAACCTCGCCCGTCTCAAATCATTCCTCCTTACAATCTCATCCTGAATCTGCCCCCAAAGGTCCCTAGTCGTAATTCTCTGCTGAGGGTCAGTTGCCAAACACCCTTCAACCAATTCGAGGAGTTCCCAAGCGACATCTCCATAATAATCACGAACGCCCTCGGAGTAGATTGGGAATTTATTCTCGTCGGTTTCCAGGTCGTAAAAGGGAGCGACGTCTTGATGGAGGTTCATTAAACTGTGCATGATACGACCTATGGACCATATGTCGCTTGCTGTTGATCTGGTTGGATCTGAGAGACTTTGATTCAAGTCATAGGTATCTTCTGCATCTTCTCGYTCCTGGAAGTGTGGGCCGTTAGGTTTGCAGGTGGAAATGTTGGGGAGCAGGACTTACAGGTGCTATGTATCCGTCAGTGCCAGCGCGACCTATTCCACCATTTCGAATCTCAGTAATCAAACCGAAATCACCGAGCTAGGTTGTGTTGTTAGCAGGTTCCGACAACAGGAAGATTCTACCTCATACCTTCGCGGTTGGGATCCCGCGCCAGTTGAGTAGATCTGGTGCTCCTAAAAAGACTGCGCTCGTGGGTCAGTAGATGAAAGGGGTCAATACATCCAAAAGATGAAGTACTGACTATTCCTTGGCTTAATGTCCACTGCGGATGTAAATTGATAGAAGAGTCCACGCAGTTGTTGAGCTTCTGAGCGAGAGCAACCTCGTTAGGCACCCGCGCTGGCAGATCATACCACATCTGAGGATAATCCCATGATGGGCCCGGCATGTAGGTATCTTTGATGACAACCCTATGCGCTAGATTCCCCGTAGCATCATACTGTAGCCAAATACCCGCATAGCCATTGCTACCTTGGCCAATGTTCCCCTCCCATCGCCAGGAGCCTTGAAGACTACGATGGTCTGGTGTCCCAAAACCATAGTCTTGGGTCAAAACGTCAAAGCCAGGCAACATTGTCGGAGGGTCGGCGTCGGCTGGTAGGTCATCGTCGGGTTTATATGGCTGTCCGCCTTTTGCAACATAATCTCTCATTGCATCGAGTCGAGTCCGCATGGCGATGAGATATCTTCCTCGAGCTTCCAGTCGATAAGCGTCGACTATTTGTTCCTCCCACATGTCAACGACAAACTGCATTTTGTGAGCCTGTAGGCTGGTTTCGAACTCGTTGATGAAATCCCCGAGGAGCTGGGCGTCTCTGGGTACTGGCGCGGTCCAAGTGTCCACCACATCTGGGCTGATATCAACAGCCTGTCGCAAGCACTCGATGAGACGAATGCGTTGTGCAGGGGTAGCCCTTCGCTCACGCAAGAATTCTTGTGCTTTTAATCTGGCCCCGATTTTTCTCAGATAGTCATCAATGCCCGCAAATAGGTGCAACGATGGGGCATTTCATAAGTTCTAAAGCAAATGGTAAATCATCTGTGGCCGGGAGCAGGACATCTCGGAAGAATCTTCTTTGGTCAGGGGTTGCCCTGTTATCYGTCAAGCTGTTGCGAGCTTCTTGCCACTGCTGTGGCCAGGTTTTCCGCTCATTGGCGTACTCTACATTCATATCATCGTCCTGGTCAATTGCATCCCTGATGGCTTCATCTAGAGTAGATTGGACGTCGTCCAGGAAGGATTGTACTGTCTGGTCTTCTCCGATGAATGGAGGCTCGCAGCTCTCCAGAACGCCATTCCAATAGTCATTCGCAGTGATGACGAGGTTGCGATGTCTCGCGTACTCTTCGGATGTCGCCGATCTTTCTACCAGCAACGTCCACGTAGAGATCCACGACGAGGGCCAAGAGGCACGCTCGGCCGCATACGTGCCGTAGGGATCGTCAGCATCAAGTGTCTCTGATGCCTCGCTGACATGCTGCGTGAGAGCCAGTTCCAAGTTGTTGAGATATTCGTCGATGCTAGTTTCGACCTGCCGAGCTGGCGGATCCCATGAGCCCAAAACATCTGGAACCGCTGCAACGGCCCTTGCGACCATTGCTGAGAGTCTCTCACATTGCAGGACAGTTGCACCACTGGATGGGAAGTTCAGCAAGACGGTAACCCATTCTGCAGGCCACATGGGATTGGGACGCGGGCGCTTATTGGGCCCAGCAGCTTCCGAGCCCGGGGGCGAGTCAGTCGCTTTACGCTTCCCTCGTACGGACTCGTTGAGAGCCATGAAGAAGATTGCCCGTTCGAGAGGTGGTCTTCGCTTTTTGTAGATACACACGCAACTGGGGTTTCTGGATTACGGACGGTCTGGCCTGTATGCTTTCTTCCGCTCGATCAACAAATATACAGTCTTGACATGTCCATCCAGAGCTTTCTTCTCTCTGCGGACTCGAATCACAGGGCCCATTGTCAGAGTCTGTCGTAAAGCCACCGGAAACAGACTTACCAAGATGCCCTTTGTTCTCCTTGGAGGCTGCTATCAGTCTACATCGATCTTTTGAGCGGACAAAGGGCTGCGATAGCATTAATCGCTCGCATACGCATGTAGATATGACTTGTGTGAGAAATGTTGGCCTGAATGAGACATCGCACTCGAAGGCATAAACATATTCTTTCCGCCATGGCCAGAAATGGCGAGAATGATAGATTGAGGCATCGCCCGCCGGTGGACTTCGTGCCAGGGCTAAGCAGAGCACAGATCGCAGCCGACTTCCTACTGATGAGCATTCCGACTMGACAAACATCCACCAAAAAAGGCCATGAGGGTGTGGAAATGGTGAAAGTGAAGAGGAGAAGAAGCACAAGGGTGAGAGTGAGAGGAGGCGAGCGGGTAGAATATGTCACGCTAGCATGAATCTCTACGCAGGAGCTACTACCCCTGCCCTGTCTGAACGCCACCTCGGAGACCTCTCCTGCCATCGACATCATCATTATCGAATATGGATGAGGCTAAGGCATACTCGGTCGATAGCATTGAAGAGAACGATGATTCACCAAGCCACGACGTAGTGCCCACCTCTTCTACACAATTCAGAGCCAACCTGCAACGCTTCAAACATACAGAAGAGTCAACAAGAACCCAGGAGCCATCAGATAGGACGCCGATAAGGAGGAATCCAAAGCGTGCTCGTGAGTCCGAGAGCATCATACCCGGACCTTCCCCTTCGCCAGCCAAACGTCGTCGAGAATCAAGTCGATATGCACCTCCCGAAAAATACGCCCATCTCAAGCCCTTGACGGACATTCTCGAGCCGAACCTGATATGTGTTTTTGTGGGCTTCAACCCTGGCGTAAGAACTGCGACTTCCGGACACGCGTATGCCCATCCAAGCAATCTCTTCTGGAAGTTACTGCATAGTTCTGGTTGTACCGATGTTCGACTAGATCCAAGACAGGATGTTGATCTCCCTCGGCTGTACGGTATGGGAAATACCAACATCGTTGCACGACCCAGTAGAGATGCGGCAGAGTTGAGCAAAGCTGAGTCTGCTGCGGGCACGCCCATCTTAGAGGAGAAGATTCGGAAGTACAGACCCGAGGCGGTTTGTATTGTTGGCAAGGGCATCTGGGAGAGTATCTGGAGGTGGAGGTATGGTCGTGGGATCAAGAAAGAAGAATGCCACTATGGCTGGCAAGATGATGGGGAAAGAATGGGGAAGGATGACGACTGGGAAGGTGCGAGAGTTTTCGTCGCAACAGCCACTAGCGGTCTGGCGGCAAATCTGAAGCCTCCTGAGAAAGAGGCCATCTGGAAACCTTTTGGAGATTGGGTCAAGGAGCGAAGGAAAGCAAGAAACTCGACCGTGGAAAGCTAGCAATGTCGGGAAGCATTGCAAGTCTTGCGTGTGTATGTAAAACGGCAAGACGCAGCTCAGAGTCGTCAGATGGTCGTGAAGCAATCATCTCATCGTATGCCAGTCCCTATCCAATCTCGTCCTCGCTCATTCTGGTGCTGACAAATGATTCTTACAGGCACTACCATGCCCGCTACGCTGTGTACGCTCCTGACATATGCAAGCAGTCCACTTCCGTCACCCTTGTCCTCAAGAACGCATTCCCGAAAGCCCTTCCAAGAAAACAAAATCGATTCCCCTGTGATTCGTTAGCGTAATGCGAGTACAAAGGCCGGAGAGCAGACGCACACTCTCCTGTACTGTCATCGCAGCAACGAAAGCTCAATCTAGGTCTCCAGGAGATCACGCACAGCTTTCATCCTCTTCTCCAACTTCTTCGCCTTGACCTTGGCTTTGCGGAGCTTTGCACGGAGGTAATCCTCGGTGTTCTGGTGTCCTGTGACGATATAGTCGTGGTACTGGGACTGAGTGTCGAGTTGTTGCTGGTGCCTATTGGAAGCCGCAGCGCTCTCGCCCTCGACACGGCCCAGACGGCCTCGGAGACCGTTGATCTCTGTCGAATGGGTGACGAGAAGTTTCTCGTAATGGTCTCGGATCTTGCCTGGCAACGTCGCTTGCTTTCGAAGATGAGGAAGCAGCTCGGCCATCAGCGGATCCATTGGAGCGCGCGCCTCCACCTGGCGAAGAACGCCCTCCACTTGGCGAAGAATTTCCTCCATTCTACGGTCTGTTGCGCAGGAATTTGCTCGGTTTGATAGCTTTCTGGTGCTCTATCGGCTATCAAAGGAAGTGTTAGCCACTCGACAAGCCCAATGAGCCATGCGTGAGTGCGATTCTTACTGATGAATATTTCCGTTGAAAACCTTTCGCTCGTCTCCAATCGGCCTGGGTGTTGAAGGAATACAGAATAGAGGAACGCCGGCATATTTATGTGCCCAGTGCGGAGCTACAGTCCTCGGCCCTAAGTCTGTAAAGAAGCGATTCTGAGCCCAATTCGAGTTGGAATCGGATGTGAGACCAGCAGCCTTCTCATAGGCAATCCTCTCTCCTCAGGACGGGGTCCATGCGTTTCCAAACAGGAATCGAATTCGGTCTGATGGCTAATCGGAGCGCGGCATTTGCGGCGAGCTGGGTAATGTAATGCACGCTGAAAGTCAAGCATGAAGGGTAGCACTGAAGTTCGTAAGTGCTCATTGAACGGTTGACGCGCTGAGACATTTGTCTCAGATGCTGGGAGTGCTGGAGAGCAAACATGCGGACCTTTTTCGACAGGGGTCTTAGCGGGAGGACAACTCATGGTGCTAGCGTAAGAAGAGCGTCAACTTATCTATATATTCCTGTTCTCTCCCAGCGCTTTCGTTGAGGATTTTCCAAAGGATCCGAGCCATCGAGATGGTTGGTGACTATAGAGGGTCGGAAATGAAGGACTTGGAGGCAGACTTCACTATTCATTGGCTGACTGCAAGTCCCATCATGGAGCACGTCAGTGCTGCTCTGCTCAAGCTGGCATACAAGGTACAACAGTTCCGCAGCGTTGAGCGGGCTAAGTAGGTCCATCGAGTGGCCAGTCAATGTCTCGTTAAATCGATGGGTGCTAATTGCTGTAAATAAATGAAATACGACGATACCGATTTCCCAAGCTCAGAGCATTCCTCCAATGTGCCCTCACAGTAGCCAGCGTAGAAGCCTCACCGATACCATCGACGGTCAATCGAGGAGAAGAATTGAAGCACATGACGTTGCCATGAAAACACAACCACTTCAGTGCTGCCTTCTGAAACGGCAACCTACTCTTAGATATTGCACTACCGGTACGGTGCGCTTTTAGCGACAACTCTGCAATAATCTTTTTTTAGTAGAACTAAGGTACACTACTTACGCTACCTCGGAACATAACCGTTCCGAGAGGTTAGCGGTAATTTTTAGTTATTGTACGGGCGCTTCTAATATAGCCTCTTTATCTAGTATATAGATATAGTCCTAATCGATAGATTAATCGTAGAAGTAAAGTTATCTAAAGCCTATATCTATAACTATATATTAGGCACTCCCTTTATATAGTAGATAGATCGAGAAGTAGATATACGCCCGTATAATGCGTTTACGACTATTAAAGTAGTACTATATAGATATCTATTAAAGGAACGAACGAAACTACTAAAAACAACTCCTTTCTAAACTTACGAAGTACCTACTATCTTTATTCTTATCGCAACCTTTTAGATTAACGACGCTTCGACCGATTACGCGTATAATTTACGGGTAGTTTACTCGTGTTCTTAGATAATTGCGAAACCTTCGAGATCGTCCGCTTATAGCTTAAACCTCCTAAGGTAGGATATTATTACTCTACTTCCTCGGTTCCTAGCTCTC